TTCACTTTGCAAACTATATATATTGTAGCTGTTAAACCTTACAGGTACGTGTAGGGTCGTCGTTTATGGAATTATCAAAGATATTTCCGAAATTGAAAATTTAAACGCAAAGTCACTTGATCTAAGAAGACGAAAAGGCTCCCAAACATTTAAAGAAAGAACTGGTTAATGGCTATCAAAAGGAAGAGCCACAGACTTTAATTCTTCTCACACTAAAACAAATATTTTCGTACTTGTTAGTAGGGTGGAGCGGGGGAGCTTCCTGATAGAATCACAGGGGATCGTGGTCATACGTTCAAAAGGTTGTAATAATTAGAGATTTGGTATCGGGGTAGGTCAGTGTTTAGGTACCAATGATTTATACACCGAATGCAAATATGGCGTCCAATTTGAATTGCCATTGTTCTGGACTGACTAGCCTCGTCTCCACGTGGAAATACAAAAGGATTATTATATGTGTGAGAAGCTAGTCAGTCCAGAACAAAGGCAACTCAAATTGAAAGCCTTATTTGCATTCGGTGTATAACACAGTGAAGCTAAGGCTATGTCTACACTATATCGAACCGCTTTTCGTGTCGACATGAAAAACACTGCGGTATAGTATGAACAGAAACGGCCAAGAATTGAAACAAGTCGTTCACACGGGCTAACGGATTGCACCAAAGCGTACGGGACGAAGAGGGCTTGGGGCAAATTGATAATACTGTACAATGATTTATTTTCCCGCACTTTCAACACGGCGGCCAAAGATTTTTCGTGGCATTCGCATCCTTGTAGCTTGTACTTCTAAACTAGGCCTCAGGTCGTCACATAATTTGTGAAATGTCTTGCGGCTCATACGGAAATATTCCTTCCATTCTTCTGCAGTCACTCTTTGGGTAATAAAGTTGTCCTACCATTCATTACATCTCCCGGGCCTGACCCAAAATAATCTTGCACGAAGAAACCTATTTCCGTTAGTTCTCTTTCTTAAATCCTTGAGCATAAGCAAAAGTTGAAGTCGTTTCCGTCATCTTTTTCGGTGATTCACAGCAGTTAAATTCATGATACAGAGCTCTAAATTGAGTACAGCGTTCGAGATAGCAGAAATCGACACAAGTGGCAAGGCTGCCGTATTGTGGAATCCAATACTCCCTCCGAGTTTTTTACTTCCGGTGCAGTCCGGAACCTGTTCACACGATGCCAAAGAGTGGTACGAAAACCTATCCGATACGTGACGCTTCACTTTCAAGATCGAAGCGGCGCAGCGTCGCGCGCTCCGTTGTAAAAACCGTGCCGAAATCAGCGTTGCCTTTGTGAACAGAAGCCCTATCCGATATGCTTTCTGTGTCGGCGCACGGGCTATCCGGTATAGTGTAGACATAGTCTGAGTGGTACGTGTTTGAGCAATAAAAAGATCAGTTTACGAGGCAGAAACCGGCATATACGGACCTAGTTTGCTACCGTTTCAGTATCGTAAGGCGTCAAAGGATGCTACACATCGCTTTTGGGATACCAATCCATCGCAAGTTACCCCTACTGGATTACCAGACCCCCTTTACAGTTCGCGGTCACCCGCTGATACTCAAGGGTGAAGAAAAACCTCTGAATACAGTTTAAGAACTCTTTTAGTGATAATAAAATCAGGTATTATTTGCCGCCAATATGCCTCTAGTTTGAAAACCTTAGCCCTGGCGGCCTTCCTCGCTTCCCTGAGGGGGGAGAAGACGAGAAAGGATTTAAACTGCACTTCTCGACATCAGTTATTGGAAATATATCAATTAGACTGTGACCATGCGGTATTTAGGCTAGTTTCACTCACCTCCTGCGAAAGTAGTTCTTGAGTGCATTTCTCATTGCCATAGGTGATCATTTGATGTGATCATGTCCTATCCAGCTGTTAAATGCCTAGAAGGAGACAAGAAATATATGTATCAACAAATGATGATATGTAAGTAAATATCTTCAAAACACCACTTGTACATTTGATGAAATTTATGCTATAAGCTTTGATAAACGAAGCTCTTCTAAGCGAAGACTCCTGCTGAAGAATCTTAATCAGGTACAAACGTTTGTTCGCTGAACAATACTTGATAACATAACATTCAGAAAATCCTCTCAGGAATTCACATTATCTCCGATCGTATTCACAAATTTTAGTTCTCCGCACTTTTGACCTACAGACATCTCGCAATTTGTGTAAACTGAATCTCCAAAGCTTAATTAAGTAAAGAAAAAAACTTTTTTGCTCTTTATCGCGCTATTGAAAGTTACCACGATTGAAATACTGCTATTTCATTCAAATTCATCAAACATACGGTAGCCATGTTTAATTCAATTTCATAAATAACGGACTCAACTTCTCAAGAAAAAATATCGTTATCATATTTATTTGAAAGCATAACTCAAACATATCACGGAGTAATAATAAAAACAGTCGTTAAATACCTGTTGATAAGGGCCGTAACAAGTTAACTTTCCCACTTCTTCGACGTTGAAAATCCACATGTTCGTGGTGAAAGCGACGTCAAGTCCGACCAGGGAGAAACAAAGGCATGTTTAGTCCACCAACGTACCACCGAACTTCTAACATAGACGTATGGGTAATTATCAACGTATCCGTAGTTTATTTTGAGAGTTTTTGGTCGCTGATCGACCAGAAAATTACATTCGGCCATGTTACCTCCCAAGCTGACGAAAACTTCTGAATAATTCAATTATAATATTATATCTGCAATTCAAATTAAGAAAACGATAGGAGAGGGCGTTGGTCATTTCTCTTACCCCATGAGTTAGAGACATCCCTATTCCATTATTAAATAGAAAGTTTGGGACAGTTCATAAGACACGGTTTTAATTTACGACAAGTGAAAGAGGACACCTGAATCATTCCCTCGAATGAAAGCGCCGTTAGTCAACCTTAATCTCAGGCCTAGTCCAAACCACACCTTAAAACCATGTGATCCCCACCTAGTTCCTCCGACCGCTCTCCCCCCACCCCTCCCCAGGTAATGATAAATGACTGGTTCCCAACTCCTAATCTGAAAAAAAAAATCATCAGCCGCTATTCGTCCGTGAAAAACTTTATTGAAACTCGCTGAGTTATGTTTCTTTGGTGCACTTAAAGAGGGTATCCGTTCACTTCGCCCCGAAGTTACATCGCTCCAAGTCAGTTCGCTCCAACCAAAAGTTAGATAGTTCCACAATAAAAGTTACTTCCCTCCATACCAAAGTGACCTCTGTACAGGGCCTCTGGAATTGAACTGCTGTCCCCGTACCAAATGATTCAGCTCCCGCACAAAGAGGCCAAACCTTCCCTAGTTTTCGCCAAACTCGCCTCAGTTGTCGCCAGACATTTCTTAACTGTCGTCAAACCCTCCTTAGTTGTCACCATTGAGAAACTTATTAATTTTCGTGGAAATCTTCAAATTTGTCGCTAAACCTTTCTTAGTTATCCCCAAGCCCTCTTTAGTTGTTGCTTAGCTCTCCCTAGTTGTCACCAAACTCTCCTTCGTTGTCTCCACATTCTCCTTAGTTGTCACTAATGGCTCCCCTTAGATGTTGTCAAACCCTCTTTAATTGTTGCCAAACTCTCTCTAGTTGTCGTCAAGCTCTGCTCTGCTACATAGTAGCTGTCACCAAACACTTTTAAGTGTTCGCCAAACTGTCCTTATTTGTTGCCACCCCCCCACTTAGACGTCACTCAGCCCTCCACAGTTGTCGCCAAACTCTCCTTAGTTATCACCAAACTTTACTCAGTTATCACCAAACCCTCCTTAGTTGTCAACAAACCCTGGTTAGTTGTCTCCACGGCACACTTTTCATTTGTCAAAATAATCTCCTTAGTATCAGCCAGACCTTTCGAGGTTGGGCCGAATTCTCCTTTGTTGTCGCAAAACTCTCTTTAGTTGTCGCCAAGCTCTCCTTGGTTGTCGCCAATCTCTCCTTAGTTGTTGCCAAGCCGCTCCTTAGCTGTCGTGAAAGCTTCCTTAAATTTCGCCCGTCCCTCCTTAGTTGTCTGTAAACATTTTTTAGCTTTCACCAAACTCTCCTCTGTTCCTGCCCAACTCTCGTAAGTTGTTACCAAACCCTCCTCAGTTCTTGCCAAGTTCTCAGTCCTTAGTTTGCGCCAAACCTTTCACATTTGTCTCAAACTCTCCTTAGGTATCGCAAAACTCCTTTTAGTCTTCGCCAATTTCTCCTTTGCTTCCGCCAAACCTTTAATAGTTGTCGCAAAACTCTCCATACTCTCCTTAGTTGTCGCCAAACTTTCCTTAGTTATCGCCATACTCTGCTTCCGGTTGTCGCCATACTCTGCTTCCGGTTGTCGCCATATTCTGCTTAGTTGTCGCCATACTCTGCTTCCGATTGTCGCCATACTCTGCTTCCGGTTGTCGCCATACTCTGCTTCCGGTTGTCGCCATATTCTGCTTAGTTGTCGCCATACTCTGCTTCCGATTGTCGCCATACTCTGCTTCCGGTTGTCGCCATACTCTGCTTCCGGTTGTCGCCATATTCTGCTTAGTTGTCGCCATACTCTCCTTAGTTGTCGCCAAACTTTCCTTAGTTGTCGCCAAACCCTTTGCGGTTGTCTCCATACTCTCCTTAGTTGTCGCCAAACTTTCCTTAGTTATCGCCATACTCTGCTTCCGGTTGTCGCCATATTCTGCTTAGTTGTCGCCATACTCTGCTTCCGATTGTCGCCATACTCTGCTTCCGGTTGTCGCATAAAAGCTCAGAGGGTTGCCAGATGAAGAATGAAAAAGGGGCAAGGGAGATTGCGTTAGAATAGATTTGTCGACGATAGGTTGAACGATCCCATCTGGTTGAAAAAGGGCAAGCAGACGAATACTGGACGGAACATGAAAGGGAGGGAAGCAACAGAGCAGAAATTTAGGTGCAGTCAATTACAATTTCCTTACCGGAAAAATTCTCACTCTATTAGTTTTGCTGGCAGTGTTTGACGAGTTGTTTAGAGACCTGCCGCTTCTCTAAAACTCTCTGAGTAAGTAGACAATTTATAATGGCTGAGAACAATCAGAACTTTATTTATCGCTGGGACATTTAGACTACACAAACTGGTGTCCTCGTCTTTCATTAGAGTTCTGAAAGTATTTCCAGTTGTAAGCTCATCGCTATTAATGTGGTTGCAACCTAGTGAGTAGCAAATAATCAAGCTAGAAATTCTCTGTAGGGCTAGTTAAATGTATAGTTCCCAGTTTCACGATACAGTTTCCGTTTGTTTACGTTGTACAAGTTTTCTACTTTCAGAGCAGTACATGTAAAGTAGAGAAGGTGTTTCCCCTCAGGTCTCCTTTCTTTCATTCAACATGAACTGAGACTCAGGTGTCATTTGATAACTCTTTCTGGGACACCAGTTGTTGATAAACCTAGCTATTCTCCTACTGGATATGGCCAAGTTAAAACAACCACATGTTACATATTTTTTTCTTTCTTCGATTTTTTCTCTTTAAGCGTCAAACGCCGGAACGTTTAATATAAAAGCACGAAATATCGAGCACAATTCGAAAAGATGCACCCAGAGGATTTATTTGTCGCTTTCCTCTGACAGACTTTCGTAATGTTCTTCTTCGTACTCCTCCTGGGCGCAAGCCTCTTCTCTTCCCTGAGCTTGAGCCTTGTTGGCATCCGGAATCCACAGACCAGAGTCAATGCATTGTTTCAGGTAAGTCCTGGCTTCCTCTTCTGGCATTTTTCCGAGAACTTCTTGCAGCATGGGTATATCTTTTTCTTCAAAGCATTTCTGAAGTTCCTGAAACAAACACAAAAATTCTTTTGTTGCTGAGCGAAGGAACCCAAAGTGAATACGTTCTGTTGTTCCACTATTTTTAAAAACAAGCAAAGAAATATGCTTCAATCAGGTCAGGCAGGTGGATGGTTAGAAGTCCATTAAGTTCTGTAATCAGTTGATTAGCTGACTTATTCAACCAGTCTATCAATCCGGCATCAATTTGAGTCCATTTTAGTCAGAAATCTGTATCTCTCTCTTAGTTTGTCTGTCCGTCAGTCAGTCAACAAGTCGGAAAATCCCCCGTTCAATAAATCAGTCCGTCAACCAATCAGTCAGCCTGTCTGTAAACCCGAGGTTCTGCCAGTCGGTTGGTCAGTCAGTCAACCGATAATTCATTATACAATCACACTGTGTAAGTCAGCCAGCTGGTAAGTAAGTCTGTGTCAGTTGGTCTGGGAGTTATTAATCATTCACGTCTGTCAATCAGTCATAAGCATTTCTGTCAGTTAGTCAGCCAGTAAGTCAGTCCCTGAGTAAGTCAATCGTTATCACAGTAGCAGTAATAAACCATTGTGATCAGACCCGTAAGTACTGTGTGGTGTAAGGCAGCAAATACTGCATAGCACAATTCAAGGCTACACTTACTGAGGGTAATGATTCAAACACTTCCACTGGATCCAGTCCCCCAGGACCAAGTCTCTGTTGGCGATCCTCCTGAAAAGAACGATTAAAACCTGCTAAAATTAAAACAGAAGCTCTCTTCACACGATGATCTAAGTATTGCTCAAATTCTGTTTCATTTTACCTAAGCAGTTCCCAAATGTACCATTGTCCTTTCACAAAGTAAGGTAAAATGTGTGCACAGCTAGAGAACACTTTGCACCAAGAAGGTACAGCACAGTGACAACTTGCAAATCCAGGACAATAGCTTAGCCTCTTTTTTTAAATAAAAATAGAGAAATTGGTTCATTGGCAAACAAAAATGCAAAGTAACAACATCTACAAAATTAAACATGCAAATCACACTGAATTGATACAATGGAAAATAACTCTATTTTTAAAAAATTAACTCTGAGAACAGATATGTGAGCAATTTTTGCAAAAAAAATCAAAATGACCTAAATTAAATATAAATGCATTTTCCTTGAGTTACAACTAGCAAACATCTTTACCATACAAATATATAATTTTGACTAAGAGAGTGAAACAACTGATTTAGAACAAAAAGAATGAAATTACAACAATTCAGGCAGGAATGGTAAAGATGATCAAGAAGATGTGTTCAGCCTGACCTCTTCGGCTTCCTTCATAGCCTTCTCAATCCTGGCTTGAGCTCTTTCCTTTACTCTTTGCAAGAATGACTTAAGCTCGTCATCAAATGCATCCATGTATTCCTTAAACTCTACTTTTGCTTTCTTCATCCTTTGACATAAATACAAACAAAATAATAATGTGTTAATGTAATGGAAAAAATTTGACAACAGCATTTAAGATCTTGGGGGTGAAGGAGTACTCCATAATCTTGAATTTTCTATCTTCATCTTCTGTGAAAGAGTGGGCTATCCATAGAATTTGAGAGATTTTATAAGGAAATTTAATACTTACTTAGTGAAAAAGCTGGGAATAGTGGCTGGTGGACTGGCATCTAGCGACTTAGCTAGCTCCAGAATATACTGCATGATAATAGTCTGATGTGCAACTCGCTCCATCAGGGCATGTTTCTAATAAGGAAGAGAAAAGGACAAACTCTAAGTACGGGAAAAGGGAAGATTCTTTAAATCCTCCCAGTAAACTATTACATTAAGTACAGCTGTCTCTTACAGTATGTGGGCTGCAGGGGGTGGTTGATTCTTGAAGGGCCAATGCTTAACAATGGCTCAGGAAGCATGAAGCAAATCATTTATATACAAGTTACACTGTACAAGGGCACCACAATATCAAGAAAAAATTGTTAAACTTGGTTGTAGGCAGCAAAGAAGGTATACAGATGACTGCCTTGAACCAGAGTGTATTAATGTTACAACTTGTCTGAGTAACTATAACTATGACTGTATTTGAATTAAACACACTGCTTACAAACCACTTGATGTTATTACCTCTTGAACTTCCAAATTGATGCACCACAAAGCCAGGTAGTTGGCAGTGTCCTCACAAGCCAAGTGAGGGTTTTTGCGAAGGTAATCTTCACTGTCATGATATTCAAGCAACATTCCAAAATGTTCAATTTCTTTCTTGTACTTCTCCATAAAAGCTTGCTAGAAGATCACATAAAGGGAGAAAAAATCTTGAAAATAAGTTTGTGCAAGTGTCATGATGTACCATAAAGAATTACCTAATGTGAAAATTAGGCTGCTCTGATTTTCTCTAGCTTGGCCTTTGCACATCACTTCTCGAGCCTTGTTTGTTTATTATCTTATTTCGTTGATTCATCATCTCTTACAACATTGCCAGTCATGCTGTGACTGGCTCCCAGGCCATTTGAGGTTTTTATACTGAACAAAAATAGAAGAAAATGAGATAAAACATCAACAGAGATGATATTAAGCTAGGAAGAGTTTTCATCAAAATTACATGAACCATGCTTTCACATGCAGACCATGATAAAATTCTGAACAAAATAAAAACAAAAATGGCCTAAAATCTAGTTTAACAAATGAAGCCCTTGTAAAAACACCTTAGTGCTCAAACATGGTTGATGTTAGTTTCTGAAATCAATACTTTCCACAGACAATGAAAATAGCACGCAAGTCTCTTTTGAAAGCATTGTTTCTAGAAAAATGAACAATGCAAGAAAAAAAAATTTAATAAAAATAAAAAGTTTGCAAGCTAGGGTGGTGTGAAAACCAAAACTTTTAAGATACATACCACTAGTTATGTGCTTACCGATCTGTCTAACTTCTCCTCTTCCGTCAAATCTTCATCCAGTTTCTTTGGAGCATTGATAATCTTGGTAAAGAACAAGTGATAGACACTGAATTTAGTGAAGATTGGCCAATCTATGAATAAATTAGCTAAAAATTAAACATGCACAAAGAGTCCTTGACTTTAAAAATTTTTTCTTCATGTTAACTTACCGTTCTAGTGAATCCAGCATGACTCAAGGTGTCAACATTTTTGGGAGCTTTCTGCAAAATGAATTTAAAACATGATTGCTTGTTCATTGTTCATAGTATTCATTATACTTGAGGACTACAAACTTGTTAAGTTTGGGGTGTATCTTATAACCGAGTGCGTCATAACCGAGAAACTACGGTAAGTGGGCGATGAATGGTAAATTCCCATGACTTCTGAGATGCCAATGTAGACCATATTTTGAAAATCTACCTCATTTACTTTAACACAGAATGTTTTGCAACCTTTGACAGCCCAGGAATTTTATCCTGTTTCCAAGAGAGTCTTAGGTAAATGAGGATAGTTGGCACAAATGTGGGGATACAATATCATGGCTGATCCCACATAACCTATTGTTATCCCTTTTATTTCAATATCTCAGAGTACACATCCTTGATTCTACCTCACTATAGCTTCATGAATACCTGCATACAAACAAAATATTGATCAAAGGTTCACCTTTTCTTTCTTGGTCAATTCTTCATCTTCCTTTTTTAGCTCTTTCATCTAAAAACAATTTTGCAACATTCAGTTGAATATAAACACACAACCATGCAACAGGCTTCTTTGGGCAAAATATAAGGATAAAACTGATCAATATGTTAGTATTAAAATATAGCAAAAAGGACTTGCAGACCGGTTGGCCTTGGACAATTTAAGCTTCCATGTAAAGAAGTACAGAGACATTTTCTTTTTCCATTTTAATCGTAAACTATAGGTTTAATTCCAACCTTTTTCTCCAATTGCCCTAATTCTCCTCGAAATTTATCTTCTTTATCTTTGTCCTTCGCTGTTTCTGCAGCTTTGAGTTTTTCTCTGGCCTGTTCAAGCCTCTTTTTTTGTCTGTTTAATTGGAAAATAAAGAAACAAATAAATTGATATATATCAAGAACAAATTGATTTAACTGTTTGAAATAGTTATCCACTGTATGCTATCAAAAGACAAATTCTTACATGCAAAATACATTGGATTATGACCCTTTAACTCCCAAGATCTGATTGTTAATTCTCCTCTCTGGCTGCTACACTTGTCCTTGTTAATTGGTTATGAGAATTTAGTGTTGGATCAGAATAACAACTTCTATTTGATAAGTTTGAGTGCTCTCATTACCTGTTTGTGCTTGTTTGTTTGTTTTCCTTTCTATGACAGAGAACTTACAAAGGATCAAAGTGACAAGCACTATATATCTACAGCTAATTCACTAGAGAATTATTTTCATTACATCAAGTTTATACTGAAATGAAAAAATTGAAAAATCATTTTAAACAAAAATATTATCTTGAGTGGCTTGAGTCATACTACATGTACTCACTCTGAAATCTTTGTATCAACAGTTTCTCTTTCCTTCTTTGCTTCCTCCATTCTTTCCACTCTGGCTTGGTGACGCCATCTAAACAGGCTTGGTGTATCAATATTAGGGTGTGTGTCATCTTCATCATCACTTACCTTAAAAAAAAAATACATGGCTAACTTTTAAAATTGGTTTCTTAATACAAAAATTATTTCTACATGAAATGTTTTTCAGTTTGGCATCCATTAAGTTTTGTAACCTTCAGAAACCAAACTTACAGTTAACTCATGGAGATCCCACAACTTTTTAAAATGTTGAGCCCACTAAACAAATGTCTTTTGACCTCTGCTTCCTTGAGTGCCAAAGCTTCTTAAGCATGAAACATTCTCATATTTCAGCACCTCCAAGTGGAACCCCACACAAATACTCAATTCATTATAAACCACAAAGGCCAATAGTAATCTTTGTGTACCCATACGTATATACTGCCTACCTCAGCAGTAATTGAGAGGTAATATTTGCCCTCAAGCAGCCAAAGAGACAAAATCATGCATTGAGAATTTGATTTTTTGGGTTCTTGTATAGGGCATATCCTAATACAATTATTCACCTCAATATCAGTGAAAGGGATGGTTATATAATTATATGCCCAGTGCTAATTTCCAGCTTGGTAATTAAGTATCTACTAGATCAGCCTTTGCCATTTGGTTGACCCCAACTCCCTGACTACCAAGATTTCTTTTAATTCCTCCTTTACTTTTTATCAATTTTTCTCTGCAAATTTCTGATTTGTTTCTGTTGTAAATCGAGCAGAGTTTCATATATTAAGTCTGAAATCCAAGTCCACCACTTTTCACCTTGCGTAAATAATGGTCAACCACAATTTACCTCTGTATATGTTTTCTAATCCAATTGTAGTAAAAACTTGGAAAGGTACTGAATCATTTAAGAGTAACATCAATACCTAACAACTTTCATTTTAAGTTATATTTAAGTTCACACAGCAACCAGGTGGACAATCAGACATGGTTTGATGCTACTCTGGTTTAAAGATTTAATGATTGTAATGGTTCGATGAATTGCAATTTTGGTTACATTCATTAAATCTTGAAACCAGAGTAGCATCAAACCGTGTCAAACTTTCACTTTGTATAAAGTTCTACTTGCAGAAAGAAAAGTTTAATTTAAATCACAGGCTCTACAAAATGAAAGTATTTGGTCAATTCACCACCACAACAGATTCTCCACTGCCAAACTTGCCATCACTGAGAGTCAAATCACCAACAGTGGCTATTTTACAACCTGTTTTAAGAGCGCGCTCAAACACGGCAAAATTTTAGCAGAAAGAAACTTGGTGTTTATCACTATAGAAGATGGCAATACTCAAGGAGACGAACGACAGTAAACGAAGCCATGCTTTTCATAACTCCTGAGGCCTTCTGGGGAAGCCCCAAAAGCTACTTCATATAACATCTCCCTTTTTTCTGTAACAATAAAACATGAGGGGCCAACGTGTAACAGAAATAGAATGTGAATTAAAATCATACAGAGCTGACTCAACATTAAAAGACCAAAATGTTTTTTTTTTAGTACTAGTAACTCAACCAATGTTCAAAGTTCAAAGTTTGTTGTATCTAGGTGACAAAGTCATCCAACCTGGAAGGGCGCACGCTAGTTCTACCACTTCGAGTAACAACAGTCTGTTGTGGTTGCGAAGTCACAATCGCTTCCACTGCAGTAGACTTTGGCTGGGGAATTTCACGAATCTGTCTCATAGTTGGTGCCTGATTCAAAGGAGGATCTGCCATGGCATCTGGTAATGACTTGGCTGATGACCCTGCACTGGGTGATGGCTGACTTGACGGATTTGTGCCACTGATATCAAATGAGGCCTGCTCTTGGCTAGGATCTTGACCAATAAACTTACGATTCCGTCTGTACAGGTTTCCGCTCTCTGTTTCAATAAGAAAGGAGCGTGGCCCAACTTTTGCCACACATGAACCTTTCTCCCAGGGTGCTTTAGGATTTACAGGCTGAAGCCTTACTGGTTCTCCCACTTGGAGCTTGGGCAATGGTTTTGCATGTTTGTCATATGCTGCTTTGGCCTGCTGTCTTTTTCTTTTAATGTTGTCATACACTCCATCTACGACCTCTGGCTTCAGCAATGCTACATTTGTTGGAATGGTAGTCCTAGTCTTTCGAGACATCAATTTTTGGACTGGGCTCAGTCCATTACTGTCAAGTGTGTTGCGCCACTCGAGCAAGGACATCTGGAGGTCTTTGTTACCTCACTTTGCCTTCTTTACTAGATTCTTTGCAATTTTGACAGAAGATTCAGCTTTTCCATTGCTTTGGCTATGTAATGGTGAACTTGTAGTGTGCTGAAATTCCCATTCACGAGTAAACTTGGTAAAATGTGCACTGGAATACTGCCGCCCATTATCTGTAACCATGTCAGCAATGCCATGACATGCAAAGTGGCGTTTGGTTGCATTTACCACTGATTCTGCAGTAGTATCTGGTAGGAGATCAAGCTCAAAGTAATCGCTGAAGTAATCAACAGTCACTAAATAGTTCTCATCACCACGGGTAAAGAGATCTTGTCCAACCTTTGACCAAGGGGTTACAGGAATTTTGTGGGTCATCAACGGTTCTTTTTGTTGTCTAGCTAAGAAGTTGTTGCAAACTTCACAATTCTGCACTTGATCTTTGATTTGGTCTGCCATGCTTGGCCAGAATAAGACATCACGTGCTCGACGTACACAGGCATCAGGCCCAAGGTGGCTGGAATGAGCTCTTGCAATCATTTGAGGTCTCATAGATGCAGGAACAATCACTTTCATTCCTTTGTACAAGACTCCGTCTTAAACTGTTAACTCTTCTTTGTAGTTCCAATACTCGCCGATACAAACTGGAATTTCCTCTTTAGTAAGCGGCCAACCTGCCATAATTATGTTCATGAGACTTTGCAGTGTGGCATCTGTGATTGTGCATTGTTTGATCTGCTGATGGGTGCCTTCTGATAGACGCATGTAATCAACTTGATTGATGTTGGCAATCTCTTGAAACAACAATTGCTCCTGGCTGAGCTGAAAGATCTGATACTCTGGGATGTTTTCATGTTGGCTGTGATCAGCTTGGAGGTAAGCTCTACTTAATATATCAGCAATGAACATCTGTGATCCAGGAAGGTACTTAACATGAAGATTGTACTTCTGTAATCGAAGGAGCATCCGTTGCAGCCGTTTTGGTGCGGAGTGTAGCGACTTCTGGAATATTGGGACCAGTGGCTTGTGGTCTGTCTCCACTGTCGTTAATTCTCTTCCATGCAGATACTGATTGAAATGGCTGCAGCAAACACTATCGCCAAGCACTCCTTTTCTATTTGTGCATATCGGTGTTCTACAGCTGACAATGACCTTGATGAGAATGCCACAGGTTGTCCGTTCTGAAGAAGTGTGGCTCCTAGGCCAGACTCTGATGCATTGCATTGGATGGTGGTTTCAGTGGCTACGTCATAGTATTTGAGCACTGGTGTCGAGCTGATCATATTCTTGATGGTTTGGAATGCTTCTTGTTGCTGACTTTCCCAAACAAACACAGTATTTTTCTCCGTTAGCTTGCGTAGTGGTTCAGACACTTCTGAAATTGTTGGCATAAACCTGGAAAGATAGTTGACACATCCTAGAAGACGTTGGACTGCTTTTTTGTCGTCTGGTCGGGGCATGCTTGCAATGGCCTCCACTTTCATGGGATCTGGTTTAAGACCTTCAGATGTGAACGAATGACCCATATAAGTGACTTGGTCTAGCCACAACCTCAACTTCTTCTTGTTTAACTTCAAATTCATGTTGCGAGCATGATACAGCAAGTTTAGTAAATTGCTGTCATGGTCCTTTAGGGCATCTTCAATAGTTTCTCCACTGCCATAGCACAGAATGTCGTCTGCAATGACTTCTACACCACTGAGACCTGCAAGTGCTTCGTTCTGACGACGCTGATATTCTTCGGGTGCGCTGCTGATACCTTGTGGCATTCGTAAATACCTGTACCTACCAAATGGGGTCCAGAATGTAGTAAGCAAGGAGCTTTCTTTGTCTAG